GATGTTAGATATTTGGAAAGAGAGATTTTTATAGCTAAAGTTGGTAGATAAAACTCTATTATTTAGATCTGTCTTGGCGTTCTTGAAACAGATATCCTTGTTGCCCACAAGGATAGCTGTTCTATTAGTCCAAATTGAGTCATATATTTATTGGTTCTTTAAAAAGGTTTGAGTGTTGGTATTGTCTAGATTTGTTTCTTGTAACATAATTAAGTCGAGTTTATAAGATTTGAGTAAAATTAAAGTGTTTTTTTGCTTGAGTTAGTTGTTCAACCCTTTTACGTTAAGGGTTGCAATTTTTAAATAGTGTTTGTTGCTCATGAGCTGTATAAAGTAGTGCAAACAGTAAATCTAGAAGCTGTGTGCCCCATTTCAGATTTTCTTGTATGGGGCTGGCCTGTTTGCATCCGGATTCTGGTTTGCTAGAGCTTTTCAACCTTTCTTTTTTCTGTGCACTGTTGTGAAAGATTCCTCCTCTATGATATCATTTTGGGGCTGAGTGGTTGCATTATTGTCGATAAGCACTACTGGGGAGCTAGAGGGGAGGAGTTCTTCTCTTGGCACAGTTGCAGCAGGAGATGGGGTGTCTGGTGCTGAATTTGTTCCATCATTATTTTTTGGGGGGTTATGTTAGTGTTTCCTGGGCTTCTTCAGACAACCAGGAATTTTTATTAATTTCATTATAAACTAGGACAGAATCAGAGGAGAAGGCAGTAATCATCTGAGAGACCAAAGGATTTCCATCCTTGTTACAGGTATCCGAGTCTGAGAGGGGTATGTCTGGCTTGTTAGCTACTGAAGGCCAATTTAATTTTTGTCTTCTATTAGCGACATATGCTTGTATTCCTGTTAAAGCTCAAGAGCTTCTTTGAATTGGTCACAATCTTTCTTAATATGCCCTTCTTTATCGCAAAAATAACAGATTTTGGGGGCTGATTGCCATTCTTTAGTAACTTTGTTGTCAAGAAGAATATAGAAGCAGGGAATTCTTTTTTCTAAATCTGAGTCATCTGTGGTTTCGAAAGAGACTATCCACTAATCAGTTAAGTATGGTGTACCCTCAATTAGCAGAGGCCTAATGGAGGCAATTTTGCCTACATCACCAAAAGTGGCTTGAATCTCGCTTGAGATCTCTTCCTTGTTTCCTAGTAGAACATTTCTAATTTTGACAGACTGAAAAGATCTTCTTGCATTGGTGGGGATATACCCATAGTATACTTTATTAAAAATTTCTATGCCCCTGGTGGCATAGAGCTTGAGTTTTTTTTTGTTTACAAATATCAGTTCTAAATGTATGCACACGCCCCTGTGAATATGATGCTTAGCTGCTAAAATATCACCCCCTGCGGTTTCAAAGAGAGAGACCATAATTTCATTTAGAGAACCGTCAAGATTTTCTATATCAATGATGAGGGCATTATCATTTTTGGAATGTATATCTCTTCTTGAAGAAAAGGATGAGAAAGTTGATTGGCCTCTTTTGACTCTTGCAAAGAGACTAGACCATGGTTTTGGAGAAGGTTTGTTGCTATTGTTTGTAGTAGCGGTCTTAGATGCTGAAAGGTACACGTCATGTATTTTCATGTTTGTTGTTTTCATTGCTGTGTTTACCTGGTTTTCTTGCAAAGTTGGACGTGTTTCAGGGCTAGACACATCTGTTTTGTTATTTGTAAGCAGTTTTTCATTGTTCATTCTTGTTTCGATTTCTTGAGAAACTTGCTCGTCCTAGCTGGGTCTATCATTGATTGTAGAGCTTTGTTGTAACAAATTTGTTGCTTCAGCTTGGCTATCCTCTATAGCCATAGGTCCTTTGCTCACAAGTAGGCTGTTTGTTTTGTCTAATAGAGGTTGTTGCTTCTCTAGAGAGGGCTCCAGTGTCTTAGTTTTCTTGTTTTTATTAGTTTCTGTGCTAAAAAGTTTCCGTTTCTTAGAAACTAGAAGGAAACCTCTATTCTGTTGCTAGTTTTGAGTTTAAAAGGCTCTTGTATAGAGTTTATTTTGTCTTTTCTATATTCTTTCCATCCTAGACGTATGTGGTCAGGAGAGAGAGTGTGACGATCTCTTTCTGAATAAATTTTATATTTAGCTTTTTTAACTTTATTTTTGCTTCTATAATATCTGGCATAAGATATTTTTTTATAATCACTTATTGTGTTAATTTTTTGATAATAATTAAGTTTTTTATATTTATCTTTTTTAGCTTTCTTAAAATTTTTATTGTTTGCTTCTTTATCATTTCCATAATGATCAACTTATTATTGCTTTTATTATTGTATTTAATTTATCAGTTTCTATTCTATTTTTATATTTTTTACTAATATTGTACTATACAATAAACTTCAGACATTATCATCCCATTTACCAATACAATTCTAATTCAATGCCTGGCCTATGTGGTACACACTTCTTAATATCCTCAAAGTTTACAATATCCAACTCTTCTTCTACAAAGTTCAAGCCCATTCTGACAACTCTTTTAATAATCTCGCAGACTTACTAGCAAATAACTACCTACCTCACTAATTCTATACTTTAACTATATTAATCTTTACATCCTATTCTCCATCTTGCAATAGAACAATAGCTTTATCGAAAGCCCTACTAGACAATTTATTAAATCAATTCTAAAAGCCCAGAATATTGCTCTATGGTTCTCACAACATCATGTCCATGAATGGTCTCACTTCTCTCATCTAATCAACTGGAAAGCTCTTGGCTATACTTTAACAACAATCAAAAAGTATCACACAACTTCACCAACCCTAAATTAAACTATCTAAAATCTTTTAAAATCAAAATGCATCTTAAATTCTTCTAACACATGTATATTTTTACTCTATTTACTCTTTTATATTTACATCTTCTAAGTGTTTCCTATGCAAACAGCCCAATATCCCATCTCACTAGTACTCCTGTCCTGACAATACACTCTTAACCCAAACTATTAATATCTCAATTTATAATATCATCTCCAATACTAACCTCAATCTTACAACACACCAACTAAATAATCTAATATACACTTTTACTTCATACCCTTTTTTCAACTTCTTTCCATCATAGCTATACCCCTACACTCTTGATTTCATACTTAAAGGTTTCATACCTACTGCTCTAATCCAATCTCTGAACTCTTTCAAAATTTCTTACTCCCAAGCCTCCCAACTTATTATCAAAATACGTTTAAAAATTTTTGATCAACTCTATAACAATATCTGGATCTCCTATTGCTCCAACTTTTCGTATTGGAAAAAAGTTCATCAAATCCCATCACGTATTAATACTATACTTCAGCCCTCTTTACTCTCTAGAAACCACAAAAACAGAATTATCTATACATACAGTTGCTCTTGTGGCTATGCTGACCAGCTACACTCTAACTCTAACACATGCTCTCCATTAGAACAAGCCTTTCTTAAACACAATATTTGTTTCACTATGTGGATTAAATATAGCATACCCATTAATCATATTTTAACTATTCAAATCTAGATGAGTCTTGACCACTCTAGTAGGTTTAGGTCACAGATAAATCAGTCTGTGCTTCTATTCTTGTATGTAATTTATATTTATTTGTTTGTATACAAATTAAGTCTTTATATAGTCTCTATGTAATTACTTATATAAATTATC